AGTTTCAAAATATGGTTGTTTTGTGCAAGTATAATACATACGATGCGATGCTGGTGTATTTAGGGGTCGTTTAGCACACATTTGCACGTGTTATTACCAAAATTAGGCAAAATTGGCGTCCCCTCATCAAACTGTACAAAAGTGTTTGCATAAATGGCAATGAATTGCTTCGTGTGCATGTAATGAGTTTAAAGAGTACATATGTGGGCTCACTAGGTATTTCCAGTAAAACGTTAAAACACAAAGAAAAATTGCTGTTACAGGAAATTAATGGGTCGATAAGTCTTCATTTATGAACATGTTTAGTGGGGTTGAAGCAAAGTCGGAAGCCACAGCTGCGGTTTTCGTAAATAAAACGACTATGCAACCAACTAAATAGAAGCATACAAACAATAACAATATTGCATTTTGGGATCTTTTGGGGATTGGTTCACATAATTTTCCGAAAGAAACGTATTTAGAAAAACGTCGGTTTTGAGAAGTATGATTTTTTTTCTTATGATAACAGAGACTCGTTTTACCGAAAACGATATTTGGTTAGCAAAGAAAGTTCAAAAACTTAAGAAAATAGTATATTTCATCCGCACAGAAATAAATTGTAATGAAGAGAACTACAAAGAAGATTCCGGAGCTAGTGTATCTGGCACAGTAAATGGTGTACGAGAAGGACTTCACAACAAGTCACAAAAGAAGGTTTTGAAAACGCCAAGGTTTACCTTATCCAACCGTATTGTTTGCGATTTCCCAATCCTCATAGAAACAATGTTTAAAGGAGCGCCAGCATGGATACAGAAACCAATGACATTAACAATGACACTTCTCTCTTATAAATCGAAAGAGAAATGCACAAAAATATGGTGGTAGCATAAAGTTCAGCAGCTGGCAGGGCAGGTCCTTTGCCAGGAGTGAGTCTTGCTGTAGATACAGCAATCATAATGTGAGAAGTCATATTCTACAAACAACAATTTGGCCTTGACGATGAATCTTTGAAAGAAAAGGCACGCTCACCAAAAATAGCTGTCGAATGTCTTGAAGAACATTTGAACATAACCAGGAGGTTAGAACTTTCGTCTCACATTCAATTGCTACTTTTGTGGGTACACTGGCTTTATTAGAAGTTGTTGAGAACGTAACAGCTTTTGTACTCCATGTGCTTGGAAGTATTATTGCCGTAGGGATATCTTACAGTTTTACACTTACTGTTTCCACATTAATGTACATGATAGACGAATGGGTTTCCGATGCACTAATTGTAAATAAAAAACTGATGCAAAAGTTGTCTGAATCAAGTATTACATAAGTAAGTTTGATTAGAGCACAGAGCATCTCAAATACAAAAAAATGTTGTTTGCATGTATGATGTTTGTAATTTTATTGTTTGCTGTTGTTTGCAGTTATGGTTAATAGTATCTTCGAACATGTCATTTACGTATCGCTGTCCTCGGTTGGCATCTACAATTCGCTGACTTACTTTAATGTTAAATATTATTACGTGTTGACATCTACGCAGTACGGAGGCTTTCAGTTCGGACTTTGGTGTAAAACAATGACTCAATCTAAGCCTACCTTCTAGATACCTAGTCACAATAAATATACTACAAATGTCTCATTTCTTCTTATGTCCACCATCATCATCAGTAAGGTCCAATTGACGATCGTGTGCTTTCCTTAATTTTATCGTAGTTTTGTTTATTTTCTGCTGAAAGACATTCAAACACCTCTCAAAATCTTTAGCCTTTGATAGTTCAAAGAGCAGAAAATACAGAAAGAACAAAAAGAACTTGCAGTTTGATGAAACAGATCGAAGATGGCTTGACAAAAGTAAACAAGTGTATACTCATGAATCCCTTTTAGTGGTTTGTTTGTGTTATTTGTAAAGACCTCCATCGAAAAGAAGTACTTGAAATTAAATATAAAGAACATAAGTTGACGTCGCTTAATTTGATTTTTATACTTGTTGGTTAGGACCGAATATTGAAGAGACGAGAAGTTGCTGTACAATTGTATTCTCCAGCAGACAACATGATGACAAAACATTAAACGTGACGTGTATAGTAAATAAAAAAACCAAAACAATAGTTACATCATTAATGTTTATTATACTGTAATCGACTTGAAAATAGCTGACTGAAAATGTGAATTTATTAGCAAAATATACCAACCGACATATGTCATATGAAAAACATTTTATTGTAGCTGGTTTGATTACGTATAAACTATACTCTACACAGTACATCTTAAACATGAATCCTTAAACATAATTTTATCATTTTGATATCTTAAATTTTTAATTTTCTTCTTCGGATTTGTTGAAAGTCGGTTGTCCGACGTGCAAAAGGCGATCCCTACCCGCGTATGTTTTGACAGGAACATTGCGAGGGAAAGTAATTTCCTTCTAATGCACATGGTTTAAACCATGGAGCTATCTGTGTTTAAACGAAGACAAAATTATATGATAAACATCCATTACATTACTAAATAGACTTGTTTTTTGAAGAGGAAAGTCTTTTGTTATTTTTCGACCATAGTAATTCGTTTCAGTTCATCATTCGATAAGAAAATAGTATTGAAAAATTATCTAAGGTGAAAGAGTTAAACAATTTATGATTTTTAAAAGAATTTCAATTACTTAATAAAGACAGTTTATTCTATAACCCTCATATGATCGTCAATGTTTATTATCATTTGAGACCTTCCCAATATCAGAATATGATGAAAAAAATCTTCCAATTACCTCAATTTATTATTCAATATCTTACTTACACAGTTGTCTGTTGTCTGTTTGTCCGAACAAAATAAATCTCTAGTTTAAACAGTAAAATCGTTGTAATATGGACCCTGTTCGAGCTTGACAAGAAGTCCGGTTTACAGAGGATTTTGTTTTTAGGAGTGCTTTTAATGACCTTTATGATGTGTTTATAAAAGACTTTTGTTTAAATCCGTTTGTACTTAATGTTCAACTTTACCTTCCTTGCTATATCATATTATACTGTTTTACAAACAATGTAACCTACTTTGTTTGCTTATCCCAAAGAAGAATGCAAGAATTTGGTTACAAGAACAAACAATGCCTTACGTAGAATTAAAACATTTTTATCTTTTTTTCTTAAATGTATCATTTTGAATTTATTTTATTTTAAACTTTTAAAAATGCATAAATAATGTTTGTTGCAAATGTCTTACTCCAACATCGACCTTTTCATGAAATTAATATAAATTCATTTATAAAGAAGTTTCCCAATTATAACGGTTCGGTTTCATGAATAAATAGATCTGATCAATATAATTGCGTTATTTCTCAATTCAAACTACTGAACATGTTTTGATTACTTCCACAATGCCTTACACTAATTTTCGACCTATCTTTTACTTACTCAAAAGTGACATAGCGTTTTAGCATGCCATTTACCAAAAGTTAATTATCGGATAATGTTAAAAATTACTTTTGATGATTTGTTCACAAAAGGATATTTGTTAAATACAAGTACTTAAAAATACATTTAAAAAAAATATGTCCTTCATTATATTTAAAAAATGCGTGAGTGAGATAATGAAAGAAACCAGAGTTAGATAATATTTGTGTCTTTATTGTCGTATTGACACATTGGTATTTACATTGAAAGCAGTTGTAGCAAACATTTAAATAATAATTCTGTATGAATGATTATTATATACACATGCATAACAAATTTGAAAAATTTGATGATAATATATTTAAAATGTTATTTATATAAAACACTCTTTAAGTTATTTTAATATATAATTTCTTCATATAATGTTTTAAAAGTCATATATTTTCATTGTTTGATAATAATTGGTGCACTGGGTGCAACAGTCCTTTTTGCAATTATAATGGACAAATTCGAACTGATCTTAAATATAAGATAAAAAGCAAGAAGGGTAAGATGCGGAGTGATACAGAGCTGGCGATGTCTGTTCGTACCAGGTATGAATTCTTTGATGCAATTCATTATGTAAAAGGATTACATTTGAGAAAACAATGGCGTAGCTGTCTATGTCCCAAATTAATTACGCCCGCCCACACTTCCGTCCGTTTGTCCAAATACCGTTAATTGACAAAAGGAATGAGCGTTTGCTTGCATGCTTACATGTTGACGTAACGAGGTTCATTCCGTGGCGACACCCGACATTTAATTTTTTCTTGTATATAAAGTATTAAATATATTTCGGAAAGAAATTAAGAACACTTATATTTTCATGTAGGAATTTTTTCTTATATAAGCGTATGAATTTACAACTTTATTCATAACTAATCAATGACATAATCCTATTAACGCAATTCAAAGGCGAGCAAGAATGACGTCATTTAAAGCACGCGACCTGTTTTACACAGGGGCGTTTTACTAGCACCGGTTTAAACAATAGATAATCCTGTCTGATATACAAGAAGTTACTATTTTTTTACATTTGATAATACACTTTATCCAGTCCTAACCAAATTGTTCTCAGTTTCATTTTGAACTATTTATCCTCCTTTTAACTGTTCCTCTATATGAATAAGTCAACGCCCTGCTATGATGGAAGCGCCTTTATGAATGTATCGGAACAGAACATAATTTTATTTCAGGTTTTGTACATCATCACATTGCAGTAAATACACAATCAACCTAGGTGTTATGTAAATATTTCACAAAAAATGAATTTAGAATAAAACATTGCATATCATTTAGATATGGAGAGTGATAAACAAAAGAGCTGGACAAAACCTTCATTCCATCGCGATACAGCAGATTCCTACCTGATTGACGCTCATATAAACGCTCTCTATCTTCCCTGTAGGTCCCTGTAGACACCCTTTCCGAATTATGTCGAGAATTGATTTATTTGTTGAAAAATCCCTGTCGATTTCAAGTAGACAATAAGCACTTCAGAAGACTCAATACACTAAATGACACTACTTCTTTCAATTATATTCCGTGGATGCAGATCTTAAAAACACCACATGACAATTTGAAAAAGAACTAGCTACGCCCATGACAATAAAGTTGCAGCAGTAATTACAGGTATTTAGATATATTGTGCAACTACTTGTATATTGGCAGTTCACTGCATTGAAAGTTAACTTAAAGGAATATTGGTTAAATTAGTGGACGCATTATATTTGGTAAGTATTGAAAACTTATATTTTAGTTAAATGTATTATGAAGATATTTGTTTTTGTTTTATTAAATCAAATAAAAATAACTTAAAAACTACAGTGGTTAATAAATTGAAATTTACTTGTAATAATATTAAATTCTACATTTACAATGGCATTATCTATGACAACTCTCACAGAAGATCTTATAAATCGAAAGAGAAGTGCTCTGAGAAAAATAATTATGGTGATAGCGTTAAGTTGAGCAGCTGATGGACCAGTTCCTTTGCCAGGATTTAGTCTTACTGTAGATACAAACCTCATTATGAATGAAGTCGATTTTTACAAACAACAGTTTGGTCTTGGTGGTGAATTTAGGCTGAAAATGTCAATCGCTCTAGAAATAGCTTTCGAAAGTCTAAAAGGACGTTTGAGAACTTTACAAATGGCTGCTAAAGCAACGAGCGCATGGGCTGCTTCAGAAATTTTAGAGAAAGTTAGAGCTTCTATTTTTTTCCTTTTCTTGGATGTATTGTTGCGGCGGCAGGGATATCTTACTATAGTACTGCATATTTATTATGGTCCTATTAGACAAATGCTTTGCCGATGCACACACTATCAATAAACAACTGACCCAAAGATATTTGAATCAAGACTTTTAACAACTAGTTTGATTGTTCGGGATATAAAGCATCACAAATACAATATACAAATACTGTTTGAATGTATGATGTTTGTAATTCTTTTGAGTGTTGTGTCTGCAATTTTACCTCTTATCATTTTCTATGTTATTTACGTATTGCTGTCTTCGGCTTTGTTACATGTTTTACTATTCAATGACTTGCTAGTATGTTAAATATCATAACGTTTTGATATCTACATAGTAGAAACCTGTCTTTGCCCTGTCCTTTTTATGTTTGGGGTCCGCCTGGGCTCCTTTCCATTGGTTCTTGTTGCTGGGTCATATGGGGGTTGCGTTCATTGAGCGCCGCCTTTCCTTGTTGATCTTGTTTATCATATTTGGTGTTATTTAGTATAATTTACATGGAGATATTTTTGTGTTGTTCCATGTCAAAATGTCTTGGTACACAACGACAATACATCTTCTTTAAGTTGACAAACTTCATATTTATATGATCATCTCGACATAAATTACCACGCCAAGATGTAAAGAATTTGTATCATCGAAAACTATATAACCAAATAAATTTTATGTTATCAAGTGATAGTAATTTAAAACAAAAAGACAAATGTGGTAATAAAGTGACACAGAATAAGTCGCGTTTAACAAAAACAATATTTTTTTTGGCCGAAAATCTTCCACATGCATCTCAAGGATAGCCATCCTATTCAACCTGTGACATCAGACATTTGTAAAAAGGTTTACAAACTTTGAATAATGTGAGTAGATAGTCAGGATAGCTTGGGTGAATAGCTTGATTTTGTTTCGAGTATGTAACTTGCAGCGGGCTGGATGCGATAAAAGTTGTCTTTTGTTTTATAGATCTTTTTCTTGCAACCAGCAACCATAAAGTCATTTGAAAATTTATATGTTTTTCTATTTGCATTGTGTTTAAGAATGTGTGTTTTGCCAGATCCAGCATGACCAACGATAGCTACAATAACATGTGGAAATGGCAATATCTCCTCATTGTTAGAAGTCTCTGTGGGTAAGACAGGAAGCTTAGGAATATCTGTCAGTGTTTCCGAAAAGTCTGGAAATTGTGTTAATGCGGAAGATACTGTTTGTAATGTTGGTGTAGCATTAGAAATGAATGATTCAATTTCATGCATTGAACCAATATCTCGCACAGTGTAATACAACATACTGAATGGCATATTTTCTTGTTGTTCATCATTTTACTATTAAATAAAAAACTTAATTACAAAGTGATAACTTTCCATGGCTGACGACATTATACGCACTTGTAAAGAACAATACAATCACCTGCTAAATAAACGAAAACAGAAAGTGAAAAGACTGAAACAATATGTGAGAGCCGTCAGATTAAAACCCATGTTAAAATCTGCCAGTGATGAAGATTTTAGCTCACGATGTGTCGATGACTTTTTGAATACATTTAGTACAAATCATAAACCTGATAAGGAATATTTTGTAAATGACTTGTATGCATCAATAGCACAGAAGAAACGCGATTATATAATAGAAATGTCGGCGAGGAACCAAACTGTTAATATGAAAAATTCTCTTATCGAACTTATAAAGAAAAGATTTATGATGTACAAACAAAATTTCAAATCACGGCAAAATAATAAAGAAAATCTCCCCATTTTGTATGTAAGTACATTTAAGTGTCTGATACAAGATTATGAAGTACGTTCAAAATAGCTCGAATATTAAACAAGCTAGTATACAGTATAAATGCTATCGACTGGGGAGAGTATAACGCATTGAATTTCATCTTTAGAATATACAAAACTCAAAGTTATGATTTTGACAACATGATCCAAGAAATCACGAGTGATGACCCATTACCATCATCCGATCCTGCTCATAGGTTTCGGCGCGTTGATTGGTCACTACCCCTGGGCCCCCTCACCCACTCTACAACCCTCCTACCTCTAAAAATCATGTAAAATTTAGCATTTTAATTTAAAACAGGTTTTTATTTTTGGTATATGCTTTTAATTCAATGACCTTCATTTCCCACAAAAATAAAAAAAATGATATATATATTTAGTAAAGGTATGCAACTCGCCGCTCATTTTTCAGCACTCATCTAAAAATGAACTCCATAACTCAAACATTTTTTCACCAATTTTCAATATATTGGTACCAAATGGTAGGGAATTGATTACACTTAAAGGAAAAATAAGCTGTCATTACAATCATTTCAAGTTGTAAGAAGATATGTAATCTCGAAGTCACCGCAAGCGTAACTCGACAGACCGCTGGGTTTTGTCAAAATTACCCGGCTAAACGGCATTTTTTTCGAAATGAATGAAAAAAAAATTGTATTGCGCATATAAATTGAGGGCAAGATATTCTTCTCAATACTGGCCAACCGCATGACCTCGTACATGTTAAGCAACCAGTACATCAACACCTCAGTCCAAAAGGGAGGAATACCCGGTTTCTCGGGGTGCGTGGAGCACACCAGCGCTCTAACGCAGCTGCTTCATGAGGCCAGGATCAACCACAAAGATCTCAGTGTCATTTGGTTAGATCTTGCGAACGCCTATGGATCGATCCCACACCAACTGATCTTGGAAGCTCTGCACCACTACCACATCCCGGATCATGCCACAAAACTCATCTAGAGTTACTTCAGCAACATTCACCTGAGGTTCTCTTGTGAACAGTTCACAACAGACTGGATTGAGCTACAGAAAGGCATTGTGACTGGATGTACCATCTCTGTTATACTGTTTGTGATGGGCATGAACATCATCATCAAGGCAGCAGAGGTGGAAACACGAGGCCCAAAGACCAACTCTGGTATCCGCCTACCATCCAACCGTGGGTTTATGGACGACATGACCGTCACGACGGAAACTCACATCCAAGCACGATGGGTACTCACGGCACTAGAGGAAACAGCGACATGGGCCCGAATGCAGTTCAAGCCAGCCAAGTCACGAAGCCTGGTGATTAAGAAAGGAAAGGTCACGGAAAGATTCAAGATGACCATACAGGGAGAGGACATCCCATCCCTGTCCAACAATCCAGTCAAGTGCTTGGGAAAGTGGTTCGACACCTCACTATCAGACAAGAGCAGTCAAGCCCGTCTTCAACAACAGGCGGAGGAGGGGTTGAGAAGAATAGACAATTGCGATCTTCCGGGGAAATTCAAGGCTTGGGTGTACCAACACAATCTACTACCCAGACTCGTTTGGCCAATGATGGTTAACGATATTCCAACCAGTACAGTAGAGAAGCTGGAGCGGACTGTCAGCAAGCACCTAAGAAGATGGTTAGGCCTGCCTCCATCCTTCACAAACATAGGTCTCTACAGCAAGACAGCAAAGCTACAGATGCCCATCAACTCTATTGTAGAGGAATTCAAAGTTGCTAAGACCAGACTTCTGCTAACGCTGAGAGATTCCAAAGACGAGAAGATCAGCGGCGCTGGCATCGAGGTTAGGACTGGGCGAAAGTGGTCAGTGAGTCGTGCGGTGGAGCTTCCAGAGAGCAGTCTCAAGCACCAAGACATTGTGGGTATGACAAACATAGGAAAAGAAGGACTAGGCACCAGGAAGCACCAAAGATGGGAGACTTCAACACAGCAGGAAAGAAGATCCGTAGTACAGACCGAGATCAGGAAAGAAGCAGAGCAGGAAAGAATGTCAAGGGCAGTCCAGCTAGGACCACAGGGAAACTGGACAAGATGGCAGGTTCCAGAAAGGAAATTATCCTGGCAAGAAATCTGGCAGTACGAGCCACTCAGACTGAGTTTCCTGCTTCGTTCTATCTACGACATGCTCCCATCTCCTACCAAACTGTACCAGTGGAAGCTGATGGACGACCCGGCATGTCTATTGTGTGGTTCACCAGGATCACTCAAACATGTACTCTCATCATGCCCCACAGCCCTATCTCAGGGGCGCTACAGATGGCGTCATGACCAGGTCCTGTCTGAGGTAGCCCATGTCCTTGTGACCGAAAGGAAGAAAGAGAGACCGAGGCCAAACCAGAACCGCTACATCGGGTTCCTGAAGGAGGGAGAACAAGTACCCAAGTCAGCCCCAGCATCGACCGGAATCCTGAATGAATCCAGGTCATGGGAAATGAAGGCTGACCTAAAGGAACAACTACAGTTCCCCCAGGAAATCGCCCAGACTACCCTCCGGCCAGACATTGTTATATGGTCCAGGAATCCTAAACGAGTGGTGCTGGTTGAGCTGACAGTCCCATGGGAGGAACGCATTGAAGAATCCCACGAGCTCAAGAGGTCCAAGTACGAAGACTTGGCCCAATCCTGCAAGTCCAACGGCTGGAACACTCAGGTCTTCCCGATTGAGGTCGGATGTCGTGGCTTCCCATCACAATCAGTGTGGAGGATGCTCGGAGCATTGGGCATCAAAGGAGCGGCACGAAAGCGCACAGTCCATGCTCTGGGGAGAACAGCCGAAAGAGCGTCCAGTTGGCTATGGATGCTCTCTAGCAAACATGAATGGCAGCCAAGGTAGACGGGGTAGGGCCTGATCAACCCTACTTGCTCCACCATCCCGAGGGTGTCCCGAGTGTAAATGGAGCGAAACACCTGCAGACGGATGGTAACTCGGCTGATGACGTCTACCTTCAGCAGGACATCTGTTATTCAACTCTATATGCTCAAATTATATTATTATTTGTAATAACTGTTCAGTCAAAACATCACATAAAGTTATAACGAACCGTTTTTCCTACTTGCCAAATAGTCAATCCAAAAATGAAAGTACACATGCATAAACGGATGTATACGTATGGGGTATTTTCATTGGTCGTGTGAAAACCAATGAAAATACTCCGTACAAAAAAATAAAGAGGAGATCACTCTGCAGGACCATTACTTGGATTACGATTTGGAATTTGACATATATATATAACGGTTTGTTATAGTTATATATCTATATATTTTTATTTATTTTGGTATTTACAAATTGGTAAAGAAGGTGCATAAAACAACTTTCTTTGTGGAGGATACTGCTTGAAACCTTCTTCGATCTTATTGAGAATGCCGTATGAAAGATTGAAATGATACTTGATTGTTTGAAACAATTCCTTGCTTTTATTACTTCTCAAAACATGTTGAGTTTCTTTGTCCAGCTCGGACAGATCAAGTACCGTAAATAAATGATTAAGCAGTGATAAGGTTACAAAAGCTGAAATAAGTAAAACACAGAAATTATCATGTAGATACACATTAAAGTAAACCCAATGACAATACTTAATGTACTCAATGTCTTAAAGGAAGACAGAGCAACAAGAAAATCACCTACAAGGGCCCGACGAAGCAAGACAGAAGACGAACATTAAGACAAGTCAGTCCCAAAGGGCTTTAAGAACTGTCCGTCATAGAGTCTTCCACTTGGTCCATCAGATATAATCGAAAAAGGTGTAACCAATTTACTTCAACAACTTTTTGAATGGAAATCCATTTTACATAAAACATGTCATAAGTCAGTATTGGTTTAAGGGAATTGCAATACCTAGATGTTTATGAGGTCAGATTTCAACAATCCGATAAGATGGAAGGGCGTAAAATACAGTATCTTAATAATATTCTAGAAAATGAAAAATCTATCTCAATGTTTATTATATTAGATTTACTCTTTACCGATCGAAAAAGAAAATGTAATGCCAAAATTGCCGAAGCTTGTCAGACATACTGGACTTATAAAATAAACAAAAGATACTGCAACCTGCGTCCTATGCTCGTCTTTCGATGACAACGCAATTGCAGTGCTGGGAATATATTATGATTCCATGCCATACAACAGGGTCACAATGCTAGATGCATCGGTTGTTTCTATAATGTGTTTACTCAAAGAAGAACATCTGGATACAGAAAACGATTCATTGCTAGCTTGTTTTGACAGTTTAAATCCAGACGTGATCAGGAATCACTACTTTTTAAACATGTGTAATGAGCGGGAACGCGGTATCAACGATTGGGATGTAATAGAAATCTTAAAAGCTCTGATGTTGAACTTAAAGACAAATTCAGTGTATCTTAGACAGTACGCAAACTTAACAAAGCTTTTGAAAAAGGAATGTTTAGGCTCCTGTAACTCATTCATCACAGGGAATCATCTGAATATTATAGAAAAACAACAAAATGACTCGGGTCCATCTTTCTTTATTAGTGAAAGAAACAAAGGCTTAACAGAAGCTAGAAGTAAGAAAAACAACACATCGAAACGAATTTCTATTGCTCATGAAATTGTTCAGATCAGCGGCTGAATAGTTGTTTCATTCATATCATCACTATTGTCTTGTGTTACAGAACTATCGGTTTCATTTGAAAATACATGATCAAAAGAATCTGCTTTTGTTTCTTGCTGTGTTGAATCCTTGTTAAAACACATATCGTTAATGTTAGGTGATATATTGTTTTCTGTGAACGTTTGATATTCATGTTCATTTGATTCTTGCTTTTCAGATTCTACTTCATCTATTGTCTTAATGAAAACATTACCAAACGTTAATTTCCTTTTCACTTCTGGTGTTGGTGTATGCGTTGGTGTTGGTGGCAATAGGTATGAAACATCTGCCGATAAATCATTTTGCCAAGTTTGTTCTTCATCTTCTAATACAGAATTGATTTCTACATCCATAGCGTCCTTCACGCCTAATATTGTTTCTTCACGAAGTTCTAGAAGGTCTTTTTCTCTATCCATCAAGTGAGTAAGATGACCATTGATCGTTGAAAGCAATGATTTGTTTGACTTTATAGCGCTTGAGTATTGTTGTAATATCTGTGCGAGGTATCGATTATGAGCATATGACAGCTTTTTCATTGCATACGCCATTTCAAGTTTCTTGTGAATAGTTTCATAATGCATTTGTTGAATATCTTGCGAAAAGAGATTCGATAACAATTTATCATTGATTAAAGCCTTACATTTTGCTTCATTTACACGAGTTTGTAGTTTCATGTTAAGAAACTGCCTTGCTTGCTTTTTGTCCATGTCAGTGTTTGAACTGGTTGTTTTCAGTGTAAGCTGATATATAAATATAAAATTATTCTTGTATATTTATTTACAAGTTTGAGCCAAACAACAGTCATAATTCAGATGAACATGACATCATTCAAATGTATTGAAACAAATGATATTTCTAGACTCGAGTGTCTTTCGGTATGGCCAAACGATTCATGTCGTGCTGAAATATACTCAAATAATGTCGAGATTGTGCTAAAACCTGATAATCAGAAGAAAGGTGCACAACATCTGAAATTACAAGTTAAGTCGGAAAATGCGAGAGAGTACACTATCATACATCTGCCACTGTGGGTTTACAAGGTGTTAACAAAATATTTTCGCAACACATCACATGTTTTCCGAAAGACCTGTCCTTTCAAAGAAGTAAAAACTAACAGAGCAGTACCATTTCTCAAAATACACAGTGGTCTGTGAGTCTGTGCGATAACACATAGAACTTATATTGCTGCTTCGTTATCAACAGTTTTCTACGGGAGCTGAAGAGTGCTTAAGAAATGGGAACATTTTGAAAAGAAATTTTATCTCCAGGGCCCGTGTTCACAAAGAAAAGATCAGGATCAGGTGATCCTGATTTTATTTTCATTGTTTTATAAAACTAAAATTGAATTTATTATGCTAGAATTAAATGGTACATATTCGAATTTCTAAATAATTGCTTATTTGCAAAGAAACCCAACCTATTTTGGGATAAAATCAACTAATACAGATTCGATAACAATTTTAATAACAATATTAAGTGTTGAAAATTGAGAACCGCTCAAGCCGGTGCTAGAGAGCGCGAGGGATGTTGCACGTATTCATTATCTCTCATGTACAGACTCAATCAAACCGAGTCTGCGATTCTCTTGTAATTTTGTAGTGATAAATGCTTCCGAGGGTCACTTTGTTTCCAGATTTTTATACTTCACAACAGCAGGTGTCAAGTGCTGTGTGGCAGCTGTAAAAAGTTGCCCCGTACTTCACTTCAGTGTTGTTACATCTTTCTGGTCCTTCGGTCTCATTGATGCCAGCACTATTAAGTGTTGAGAATTGAGTACCGCTCAAGCCAGTGCTAGGGGGCGTGAGGGATGTTGCACGTATTCATTATCCCTCGTGTACAGACTCAATCAACCCGAGTCTGCGATTCTCTTGTAATTTTGTTGTGATAAATGCTTCCGAGGCATCACTTTGTTTCCAGATTTTTATACTTCACAACAGCAGGTGTCAAGTGCTGTGTGGCAGCTGTAAAAAGTTGCCCCGTACTTCACTTCAGTGTTGTTATATTTTTCTGGTCTTTCGGGGTCATTGATGCCAGCACTATAAGTGTTGAGAATTGAGTACCGCTCAAGCCAGTGCTAGGGGGGGGGGGGCGTGAGGGATGTTGCACGTATTCATTATCACTCATGTACAGACTCAATCAAACCGAGTCTTCGATTCTCTTGTAATTTTGTTCTGATTGATGCTTCCGAGGCATCACTTTGTTTCCAGATTTAAATAACAAAACAAAAACAAAAATAATCGGATTAAAATGAGGATCAATTTTAGGATCAAGATCAAAATTTGGATCAACTGTAAAATGCCCATTTCTTGTAAAAATACAATAAATTTATTCTAAACTTTCATAAACATGTTATTTAAAATTATGGAAAAGTCCAGTTTCAGCAATTTAATATTGAATATTAAATCTATGAGGATAAATAATGGATAATATTTGAGTTTAGGATAAATAATGGATAATATTTGAGTTTTTAAATTTGATCCTGATCTTGAACGGGGCCAGAGCAGGAAAGTTATGCGCAGTCGAGATATAACTTGATCAATCTTTCGAACCACAGTACTATGATTGTCAGACACTGCGATTTTACACACGATATGTCAATACTATTGTGGTAAACGAATGTGTTTTGGCACCGCAACATGTAACAGATACAATAGACTTGCAAGAAAGACGAATTGAATACAATATTTTTATTGAAAAAGAACTTAACAAAACATATCCAGCTGAGAATGATGGTCACTTGAATATGTCACAGGTATTTTAATGAAAAAATAAAGCATTCATTCGTAATAATACCACTTAATTGAAGAAGGTTTTAGGTGCAAAAACATTAACCGAGAACAAAATAACTTCAATATTAACTGAAGACATGCTATCTCATATGTCATATGAAAGAATTGATTCAATATCTGGAAGATAAGTCAACATAGTACATATGCTGCATTTGAACAGGGAACTGGAAATACTGTTTGTTACCGACATACATGCATATGACCATGTGTCAAGCTTGTGTCATTAAGAATATCATCTTCGTAGAGTTATTAGTTCTTTTTATTTCATTGAATTTTATATTGCTTCGAAGTGAATTATAGTGAACTGATCATATGTTAAATGCAAATACCTTGTATCGAAAGAACGTCTGATGCACTGGGTTTGGAAATACGAATTAGTTCTCTTAACCCATGCACCTGTGCTAGATTTAAAAAGGAGAGAAATAAGAATCCCT